CGACTGATCGCATAGCAATCCGTGTGTGTGTGTGTACAGATTTCCTGCTGCCTGGTCCCCCCACTGGACCGACCTGTGGGCGTGGCGTGCGTCCTGCCAATGTAAGTGTATATACATACCCTCCTTGAAGCCTATATACTCATATCTGCATACATACATACATCCGTCATGCCTTCATGAGGCGCCTGGCTATGCTGCGTCGTTCATGCCTCCTGAGTGAGTGATTGTGACTATCTAATGAATGAATGGGACAAACAGAACAGACAGACAGACAGACAGGTGGATCGGATCGGATCGGATTGGATTGGACAGAGAGAGAGATTTCTTTGTGCGTACATGTCGACCCGTTTAGAAGTAGAGGTGTTCATCATGCTCCATCCATCCATCCATCTAGCCATCCATTCCATTCCACCTTGCCTTGTGTGCGTGTCCGCTCGAACCTGTCAAAGCACATGGGGGGGCGGGCGGCCAGACCCACAGCGAAGTGAGATGGTTTTTTGTATCCATCCTTTCTGTTTTATTAGGGTGCTGACTGACTGATTGATTGATTGATTGGTTCACTGATTGATTGATTGGTTGATTGATTGGTTGGTGCGGCGCGGTGCGGCGCGGTGCAGTGTGAGTATGCATACACACGGCGCGGCGTAGCGTAGCGTAGAGTTAAGTGTGTGAGTGCACGCAACAGTGGCACCCGTGTGTGTGTGTGTGGATGTTGCCTTTCTGTGTTCGTTCGGGGTACCAGCCAGCCGTGATCGAGGCGTGCAGATGCCATCATGTGCGCGTGTGGTGCGTTTTGTCCCCCTCCGGCCCCTGATGCCAGCGATGCCATTCCTTTCTTTCATCCTTCTCTGCATGGCCTGCCTGCCTGCTTGTCTGTCTGTCTGCCGGATTGGCGAACCGACCGACCTCTGAAGCCTGTCACATGCAGTGCTGGATCAAGACATTGATTGATGCTGAATCAAGAGAGAGGCCCACACTGTGGCACTGCTTCCCTTTATGTGCTCGTGCATGCTATGCATGCCTTCCTTGTGTGGATGGATGACTCTGTCTGTCTGCATTTGTGTGTGAGTTTATCTGTGACGAGACGTTGAGAGTGACTGACGTGAATGACGGACGACAGTGAAGTTGATTGAGAGTGACTCGGTCGGTCAGGCAGTCAGTCATGACATCAACACTGCGGATACGTCACGTCCACTGCCGCCGCGCCTACAGTCAGTCACCTCCCGACCCACCCACGTGTCGTGTCGTGTCGTGTCGTGTCGAGTCAACCCACACAAGAAGGAAAAAACCCCAGTCGACTGCCATCTGTCTGTCTGTCTGTCCGAGTCCGTCACGAAGTGTTCATCTGCTGTGGCATCGTTTTGTCGAGTTTGTCCATGGCCTCTTCCACCGTGGCGTACGCGTCCTTCTTGGGCTGGAAGAACCTGCGCCTGTTCCTGGGCTCCTGCAGCCACGCCAGAAACAAACGGCACCTGCACACACACACACAGGGCACACAGAGAGCACTTAGAGATGCACTCACTCAGAGATACGGAATGGGTGTCCATAAATGTTCGACGTGTCTGTCTGTCTGTGTATGTCTGACCGGTCCATGACGTTGGCCATGGCTCCCTCTTCTAGCACAGCCCTGGGTGCGGCCGCGAGCATCTTAGGCAGGCGCACGAAGAGCCGCAGCAGGTAGATGCCGCCCGCCACCTCACTGGGCTTGGGGAAGTCCTCACGCACACTGCCGCTCCCCGCACGCTGCGGAGACACCGGCGACTCGCCCCCCTCACTCTGGCCGTGGGCACCGCTGATAGAGGATGGACAAACAGACAGACAGACAGTAAAGGCATGACCAGACATGCCACCAGGGCCGCGTGCGGTAGTATCGAGCCGGCTCACGTGTCCTGGTTGGCCAGGTAGTTGTCTCTGATGCGGGTGAAGACGGCTTTGACGTAGGCCATCTCGTCCTCGGTCACCAGGTGCGACTCGAAGTAGGTGTCGAAGTACCACTCAACCGCAGCAGCAAAATCAACCAACACAGTCTGGCTGGCCTCCGTCTTGGGCATGCTCAGCTGACTCCCGCCACCTGCTGGCGACGCTGCTGCAGCGGCGGCCGCGGCGGCAGGCGCAGGCGCAGCTGCTGCTACATAGACGACACAAGCAGCAAAGAAGGAAGCCAAATGGATGGATGGATGGATGAGTGGTATTGTGTTTTGGTGTTCTACATACCCTGTGTGTCGGATGCCGCTGCAGCAGCTGCTGCGGGCGCCTCGAGTCGCTGCCGCTTGTTGGGCTCGAACTCCGAATCTCCATCCAGATGACGCTCCAGGATGCCTGACACACATCACAAGACAACACAACACAACACCAGAAAACAAGCTCACACCTCCCGCTGCCCGACCGCCCCCCTTCGGTCATTTGCTCACTCACTTGTGTCGACCTTCCTGTCCCAGATGGGGTGCCCCTGCTGTCGCCCCTTGGTGTGGCGCACCGACCGCCGCTCCCGCTCGACATCCATGCGCGACTCGCCGTCGGCACTGTCGTCGTCGTCGCTGGTGCCCCGTGCCTTGTCGTGCTGCTGCTTCTGGAAGTCGAGGATGATGTCGTAGACGGAGATGGGTGCGGGGAGGAGTGGCACCTTGCCGTCCTGCACCATCTCCCAGTCCTGGTTGATCCTCTTCTTGAGGTCCTCGGGGATGGCCATCCTGTCCCACAGGTGCTTGTAGTGCTTCTGGTTCGTGTCGGCCGATGATGTGTCGACGGGCAGGACGCGACGCTGGCTCTTGTAGGCCTCCATCTGGCTCTGGCACTGCTTGCACTTCCACACGAACTCGTCGCTCAGCGGGTCGATCGACTCGCGACGCTCGCCCACCACAATGCACTTCGCCAGATCAGCCTCCAGACACTTCTGGTGACACCAACTGCAACACACACACACACACACACACACACATCCAGTCCTGTGCACGTGCCTGTGGTGTGTGTGTGTGTGTCACCGCTCGCAGAAGTTGCACCCGACCCAGGGATTGCCGTCCTCGTCCGGATACTCCTCAAACACAATCTGGTAGCAAAACGGACTGCACACAACAGCGCACGCGAGACGCACCAAGAGACCACGGATGCCGAGACGATAACGGAGTGACAGACTGCTCTGCTGACCCACCAGTATCGCTTCTCTTTGTAGGATTTGTAGCATTGGCTGCAGTAGACGTTCTTGCTGTCCTTGCGGCCGCCGGGCGGCAGGTGCCGACGGTCAACGAACCCTCCAACATTCTGCAGGCGTGACACCACATATCCACCGTGCGATTGCGGTTGAGTGACTCAATTGGAGTGACTGCTCATTTGTTTGGCACGTGCCTCACTGACCTTGAGGTTGAGTAGGGTGGGCTCATTCTCGCCGGGCGGATGGTCCTCGTCTGCGTTGCAAAGGATGTTGGAGCACTTGGTTCCCTGATGCCCCTTCATCCACCGCACTAGAGTCGGGTCGACCTCCTGCTGCTCCTCCATGCTCATCTCGACGAGGTATGCAGTAGCACAAGATCAGAGTATCCTTGCTCGACGGCTGGCAGGGTTGCCCAAGGTCCAAATGCCAAGCAACCCTTGCTCAGCTCCCACAGAGAGCGGTTTCACGGAGCTCCTAAATTTGCGAGCTTGAAGCCAGAAGGCAAACTGTATGAGTAGAGGAGTTAGACACAAGGAAGGAGTAAGTATGAGTGAGCATCGCAAGAGGAAGAGCAACGCTGCGAGAGGTAGGCACGAACATTGCACGAACGCAGGACAGGTGACCCTCGCCATCGTGGCACTCGCTCATTCATTTCGGTGCTTTGCTTTGATTGATGTCACTCACAGAGCGAGGAATCGAGCTGCTGGAGTTCCTCCCATCTATCGGCGTCAAGGCGCCGCAGGTGCCTGTCGAGCCGCAGTGGCGCATCTTGTTTGACGTGTCGATGGACGCCTTCTACGCCAGGCTGCTGGTCAACGGACAGGAGCATCTGTTCGGCCCGTACCAGTCGCTCCATGAGGCACGGCAGCGCCATGACCTGGAGGCAGTCAGATACCTGGGTCTGCGGCAGGGGTCGAGGATAGCATTCGACGGCCACCTCATGCAGCCGCATCGGCTCGACCCTGCCCTGCGCCAGCTCTACTACTTGGGCCACCCTGAGGAGGGGGACAAGACGCCCACAGCCAAACGGAAGCAGGCATCGCGAGAGCAGGCGCCAATGGGGAGCAGCAGCGCATCCTCAGCAACGGCATCAGCACCATCACCGGCAGCGGCGGCAGCAGCACCAGTGGCGGCAGATGTGTGCGAGGATCTCAACGATGAAACGATGGAGGAGACCGAGGAGAAGGACTTTGACGTCATCGTGATTGGAGCGGGCACTTCAGGTGGGCAGCAAACACGACACAGCTATACAAGGAACAAAACAATCATGCCACCTGTGCCTGTGTGTGTGTGTGTGTGTGTGTGGTCGTTGGTTCTGTCCTCAGGTTTAGTTGCCGCTCGTGAGTGTGTAGCCGCGGGCCTCACTGTCGGCATATTCGAGTCACGCAATGAGCCAGGCGGCAGATTGCGGACGCACACTCTCCGTCACACCTCCTCGTCGTCGGCCGCTGCGTCATCGGCCCAGCCGCCCCACTCTGGCGACGTCCATGTGGAGCTCGGGGCCCAGTACATCCACGGGTGCGCCGGGGAGCAGCAGCACAAGGGCAACCCCGTCCTACGCGCCAGCATCACACAGGAGCGACGAGTGGGCTATGTGGCCGGCCCAGAGGGCACCTCAGAGCCATGCGACACGGCCATGTTCTTCGACACGAAGAGCGGCCATCCCGTGGCGTCGTATGACGTGGCGAGGGTCGACATGGTCATGAAGGCCATGACCGAGGAGGTGCGGTATGAGGTGCGGCTGGCGTGCAACCCTTGTGCGGCCCACCCCTACTGGCAGGCGACGCCCGTGTCCCACCTGCGGACCATCCACGACCTGGCCCTGCACGCCAAGGCCGCCGGCGCCAAGAGGAGGGGCGACATCAGCAACCGATGGCGCGACCACCAGCTGTGGCTGGAGCATGAGGCAACCATCGAGAGCTACCTCGACACCATCTTCCCCGACCGACACGAAATCCTGTCGCCATCCACCCAGCCCCCTTCGCCCACCTTCAGCCCAGCCAGGACGGGCGACTCAGCGTCATCCAAGTCCAAGAAGAAAGACGGGGAGAGCGAGGCTGCCGAGACCCAGGAGGGCGTGTGGCCCCCTCCGGTCAAGTCAGATCGCATCAGGCGGAGCGTGCGTGTGCGGCGGGGGACTGAGGGGTCAGAGGATGGGAGGGGGGGCGGAAGCAAGCATGTGGAGGATCTCGAGTCGGCGTCGCGTCGGCTGCTACCCAAGGTACTCGAGCGCCACCTGATCGTCCTCTATGTGCGATTGCATGTATGTGTGTATGGCCGATTGCCTGCAGGTCCTCAAGCGCCTGGGGCTGCAGGGCCACTGGACCGACCTCCACGACCAGATGCTCGCCAAAGCCAAAGCGCGGACGTAGGAGGGGGAGCCGAGGAGGCACGAAACCATCAGATACATTACATCAGACATTTTCTTTCTCTCTCTCTCTCTGTGTGTGTGTGTGAATGTGTGTGTCTGTATCAGTTGGATGATGTGTTGCTCTCCGTGTGACTTGGATCTGCAGTACGAGCACTACTTGGACACCATCAAGTGGAGCGACCAGGACGGCTGGCAGTGGGAGGAGCACATGTCGCCCAAAGACGACGACGCCTTCCGCCACGAGTACCTCGACATGAGCCGTGGCGAGGGCGACACCTGGCTGCACGACGCCCGCCTGGCCCCATCCATCGACGACCTCCTCTCTGCACACGACAAGCGCCTCGTCAGCACCGGCCGCAAGGACTTCGAGAGCAAGAGGGCCGCCGATCAGCACCGCAGAGTGGCTAAGCCCACTCCCGTCAACCTCACCAAGGCCGACTGGATCGTGCTCGAGGGATACCGCCAGATGGTCATCGACCCACTCATCCAGCACCACTGCACCACCGCCACGGTGCCGGACGGCCGCGAGGTGGACGGACAGCTGGCCGTCGTCCACTATCGGTGTCCGGTGGCGAGCATAGAGCATCGCACCGACTGTCGGCTGGTGAGGGCGGATGGCGTTGCTGAGGGAGCCGAGGGCTTCATGGAGGTGCGGCTGGCCGAGGGCGCCGATGCCGCTCGCAAGGTGGGCAAAGGACAATGACGGGTGCGCATGGGTCGGTGGGCTGACGACTCTTCGTTCTGTGTGTCTGCAGGTGTATCGCAGTCTGTACGTGGTCGCGACCTTACCCTTGGGCATCCTCAAAGCGTCCCTTAGCTGCCACCGCGACCAGGCCAAGATAGACGCATCCGACACACTCAAGAAGAAGTGAACCACAACACAATCACGAACACAAAGCCCCAAACAGCCTCTTCATCGTCGCTGCTCTGTCGTCTTCCTCTTCGTCTTTGCCGTCAGTTTGGTGACGTTCGTCCCGCCCCTCTCATCGGCCAAGCAAGAGGTGATCACGACCCTGGGGTTCGGCATCCACAACAAAGTGCTGCTGCGGTTCGACACGCACATCGGCAAGGGGTCGCTGCGGCCGCCCAAGCCATCCGGCACCAGGTCGGGTGATGCACAGGGGCAGGGTGAGGGTGCGGGCGACACGGCTCTGCACCCGCTGTGGTCGGAGTTCGGTGGTGTGCCCAACTGGACCAACACCCAACCCGACTACCCGGTGCAGATACTCAACCTTCACGCATACGGTACGGTAGGCACACACACAACACCACATAGACAGACGACAGAGGTGATTGCGTGTGTGGCGTGTGCCTGTCTGTGTGTCGATCCGTTCAGGCAAGCCGGGGACGCTGTGCATGCACGTGTATCCCCCGCTGTCTGACGGCTTCAACGGCAAAGACGACCAACAGGTACGTGTGTGGCGTCGACAAATACAAAGGGATAGGGAGCGACCAGTCGACCATTCCATGTGTGTGTGTTGGTGGTGTGCGCGTGTGTGTCCGCAGGCGCTAGAGGAGTGTCTGGGCGTGCTCGAGAACATGTTCAGAGGACCCCTTAAACCGCGACTGGTGGGCGACTGAACCGACACGTGTATGCATACCAACGACAAGACACCCTTCCATCCACCTTGACTTGTGCGTGGCGTGCATTAGTGTGAGGGTGCGCCTGTGCTGCCCACTCTCCTGGACTGGAAGATCACCCACTGGGAGAGGGAGCCCGAGGCGCTCGGATCCTACTCATACCTAGCAAAGGTCAACACCACACACACCACACCTAATTGCTCTCCTGCATGCTGTGCTTTGCCTTTTCTCTCATCTCTCTGTTTGCAGGGCTGCGGTGAGGAGGCCGTGACCGAGTTGGGACAGCCCGAACACTCGGGGAGGCTGCAGTTCGCAGGTAGGCCACCTCACCCACCCCCTCCCTCTATCTGCTGTCATATGCGTCCCTGTCGTCGTGTGTCAGGTGAGGCCACCTCTCGTGAGGGCTTCCAGTGTGTCACGGGTGCGTGGATGAGCGGCGAGCGGGCGGCCAAGCACATCAGGAACCACATCCGGGACACCAACCCCAACCACCCCATGGTGTCTACATCGGCTGCAGGCGGCACGGGGTCGGCCTCTATGGTGGCTGGGGGCGAGCAGCAGCGCGCGCGGCGGCCGTCGCTGAAGCGCAAGGAGAACGAGGAGCTGCTGGCCGATATCAAGGACAAGAAACTCAGGTTTGAGTGAGTGATGAGTAGTGTAGGTCTTCGTCGTCTTGCTCTGGGATGGGATGGGGTGGGATGGGTGTATCGTGCGAGGATGACACTCCCGCCATGCAATGACTTTTTGCATGACGCGTTGCACGTATGAATGAATGGCCATTCATTTGATCAAGCGAAGGAACACTGGTCCAATGAAACATCACACACGCACATAGATACCCACACGCACATCTGCCTGCACTCATCAGCCGGTCACCTTGACATGTGGGGGCACACAGGTCAGAATGGAGCAGTCAGGCGGAATGAAAGTGAAGTCCTCATTGCGTAATACCCCCACCTGTGGCCGCGTGCACCCAAAGAAGCAGCTGTACGTCCCCTTGCCGGCTGCCGAATCGAGAAAGGCAGGCACAGTCTGGGGGCTCGATAGGTCGGCCTCCACCATCAGCACCGGCAGGTGCCGTGCAGTGGTCTGCATGGCCCCCTGCAGCACCTGCATCCCCATCCTCTCCACGTCAATCTTGATGACATCAAGCCGGGGCCACTCCATGTCATCCAGACGAACCCGCCACACTGCCTCTGTGGCCTTCCCAGCCGTTCCAATCCAATCTGACGGACGGTCCGTGTCGACCGTGGACGCACCGAAATTGCCAATATGGTCGTAGTCGTATGTCGGTATGGTCATCAGCTCCTTCGCGTTGCCCACCGCAGCATTGACCGTCCGCACCACTGACCCAAGGCCGTTCAGCACCACGTTGGCAGCGAGCACCTGGAAGATCCGTCTAAATGGCTCGAACGCCACCACACGCCCGTGGGGCGCCACTCTGCGTGCCATCGGGACGGTGAGTGAGCCGATGTTGGCGCCCACGTCGGCCACCCAGCAGCCGGGCTGGAGAAGCTTCTCCACACTCATGAGTAAGGTTTCCTCCCACACGCCGTGGACAATGAGGGATGCGCTGACGAAGAAGTCCAGCGGGAAGACCACAAAGCTGCCGTGTTTGCCCCGTGTCAACAGGTAGGAGGCGGCATCGTGCTTGAAGGCGAAGCCGTTTTGGTTCTCGTCATGGGTGGATTCATTGAAGAGGCGCTGTGGATCTAGCTGCTGGCCGATGCGATGATGGAGATGGCCATCCGCCAGGCTGCACTCGAGTGCGCCGTCGGTGCTGCATTGGCCCGCAGTGGTCGAGTTGACAGCCGATGATTCCGCACCAGCGTAGAAGAGGGAGAGGAAGAGAAGCGAAATCAACAACATCGGAAGATCCCTGTATTTACAGAGTCTGGGGGCTCATATGAGACTGGACAGAGCGCGCAAGAGAGAATTGACGGCCACACGGGAAGGTGTCTGGGGCAGGGTCACAGGCTGGCTGAAGGGTCAGATGAGCAGCCTGGTGGCCCCCAACCCTCAGCCCAACGGGCCCATCCAGTACAGCCACATGTGGACATGCTGCTACGACGACCTGATGGTGTCCGAGGCCCTCACGTAAGCATTGAATGCTCATCCACAGGGAGGAGCCGGTTAGAGAGAGAGCCGTGCCAGTCAGCAGCCAGGCATGATGTGTGATGTGATGAGAGGGAAACACTGATGACTAGAGAGACTGCCAAGCCTCTTTGTTCCTGTGTCCCCTCTGTCTCTCTCTCTCTCCCTCTGTCTCTCTCTGTCTGTTTGTGTGTGTGACCAGGTTCAGCGGCAGCCCCATCATCCACCCACGAGACAGGCTGCCGCTGTTCAATGAGGAGATCCCCCGCGTGGAGTACAACCCCGAGCCACAGGTACGTGTGGCCTCGAGGCATCACAGACGCACACACACCTGTTCCTTGCTTCTTTCATCTCCCTGTGCCATCCATCCGTCCACCAGAGCATCTTTGACCAAATCCGAGGCCCTACCGACGACAGCATCAGGCCGGTGGCCAAGTTCATGGGGGTGCTGAAGGACCCCGCTGAGGGCACTTTCAGGAGGGGCGTTGGCGTCGATATGGTTCGGGAGTGGACAGCACATTGACACAGAGAGAGATAGACATGCGGGCATCGCCTCATCGTGGCTGTCTGTCTGGCTGTTTGTGTGTCAAACTGTCGATCTCATCAGTGGTGGCCATACGTCGCCTTCGAGCCGAAGAGCGGCCGCTGCGTCAATACTTGCCCGCGGGACGACTGGTGAAATGGACGGTGAAGCGCCGACAGACAGACAGACAGACAGACAGACAGACAGGTAGACAGGCAGGCAAAGAGAGAGGCAGACACAGAGGTTGTACAAATCTGACCAACTCATGTCTCTCTCTCTGTCTGTGCGTGTGTGCATGCTCAGGCCATCCAACCACGCCCCACTGGCGATATGATGGATGGATGGATGGAGATACGGACGGATGGACGACTGTGTGTGCATCTCTCATGGATTGCGGTCAAGAAGCTGGGAATGAGAAAGGCGACTAGTGAAAGCGCGCTATGCGGTCCATTCTTTCATGCCTCACTCACTGTCCACATGTACGTATCATGCAAGTGAGCTGTGTGTGCACTGCAGTCCTTCTATCTTGTGAAAGCCCTCTCAGCGAGACGGGCACACGGGTGTGCACTGGCACACCCCTCATGACATGAGTGAGTGAGTGAGTACGTCTGCTGCCTGACTTCATTCATTCATTCGTGCAGTCAGTGTTATGTTACTCAACTAATTGCAAATGACAAATCAATCAATTGATCAACACTCCTCGTTCGGCCTTTGGCACCAATACACAGGATCAACTCTTCTCATTGTGCACCTGCACAGAAAGACGGTTCCATAGGCGGTCTGCCGCGTAGGCAGCGTGTGCGTGTTTCGTCTTCTCTCTCACCATCGGTGTCTTAGTATGGTTGGTATCGGTGGCTGCTGCCGCCCCCAGCCCCCCGTGCGTCGGCGCCTGCCCCCGCTCTCGGGTCGCCCGGTGGCCCGCCCATGCCGCGCTCGCTGCCTCGTGACGGGCCTGACACACACACACACACACGCACACACATACACGCATCAACCAACATGGCTGCGTGTCGTGTCGGTTTTTGGTTTGCTGCTTACCATAGGAGCCACGGTAGTACTCGTCAGCCTCACCGCCATAGCCTGCCAGACACAGAGAGAGTCTCGGGCCTCAGTCAGTGGCTTTGTTTGTTGAGGCTGCGTGTCTGTGTGTGTGTGCACGGGGCACCTCTTGATCCGTATCCGCCTTGTCTGTCGTTGTACCCGGCTCCCCCGCCATAGCCCCCTCCATACCCACCGCCATAGTCATACCCGCCGCCCCCATACCCAGACCCACTGCCGTAGTACCCACCACCTGCCATTATCACATCACACACGGACAGCGTGATCAGCGATGGTATCCTGTCTGTCACTCTCTGTCTGTCCATGTGTGTGTGTGTCTGTGTCTGTGTCTGTCTGCTGCCGCACCTCTCGACCCGTAGGAGCCTCCCCCTGCTTCATATCCGGCGTAGTAGTCACGGCCGTAGTCATTTCTCTGGTAGTACTGGCTGGCAGGGGCGCCGCGAGACCCGTACGCGTAGCCACCCTGGTACCCTGATGACAACAACACATAGACCATTTGACAGGAATGCACATGAGGCCTTTTCATGTTTCGGATAAGCGACTGATTGGTGCTCACCGCCGTATCCCCCTCCCTGTCCGCCACCGTAGTATCCGCCAGGGCTGCCATACTGCCCGCCCCCTGACGACCGGCCGTAGGACGGGCCATAGCCACCGCCGCCGCCATACCCACCCCCATAGCTGCCAGACGCATAACCTGACATTAGCCGTGGACGGAGAAACAGAGAGATCAGTCGACGAAGAGTGCATGTGGTGTCTGTTTCTTGTTCGGTCACTTTGTCTGTTGTTGTATGCGGCGCCGCCGCCATAGCCGCCGTATCCGCCTCCTCCCCCTCCCCCTCCATATGGTGCGGCGCCGTATCCGCCTCCGTAGGGCCCGCCCCTGTCGCCGCTCCGACTAGCCATCGCCGCCCTCTCGCGGTCGCGCCGCTTCGGCTCGGCCTTCTTCACCTCAACCTATCCGACACGCAAAGTGCGAGTGGGGGGGACGTCACACGGCGTGTGTGTGTGTGTGTGTGTGCCATCTTCGGTACCCGTCTCTCGCCGATTTTGTGTTCGGCGTTGAGGGCGGCCTCGACGGCTCCATCGTCGCGGAAGGTCACGAAGCCGAAACCGCGAGATGTGCCGTCGACTGCACATTACAAAAAACGCAGGGAGACAGGCAGACATGCATGAGCGGTCGTGTCAATGGCTGCACGGAATGCGTGTGTCTTACGGTCTTTGATGACGGTGCAGTCTTCGATCTCGCCGAACTTAACGAACGACTCCTGCAGATGCTCTGCATGCACGCACACAGATACACATGGACACACATCTCCCTCCTCCCTCCCTCCCTGTGTGGTGCATCTAACGTGACATACGTTCGGTGAGTTCGGGTGCCAGCCCTCCGATGAAGATCTTCCGGGGCACCTCGCTGCTGAACTGCTGTTGCTGCTGCTGCTGGGCCGCGGCGTTCTGGCTCTCCTCACGCACATCAACCTGACGCGCAAGTCCATCCACACAGATGAATGACCCGCGTGTGCGTGTCTATGTCTGTCGGTGTGCGTACTCGTTTGCCCTTGATTTCGTGTTTGGCTTCGAAGATGATTTTCTTGAAGTTTTTGTCGGCGATGGTGACGAACCCAAAGCCCTTGGACCGTTTGGTCTCTCTGTCCTTCATGACAAACACCTCCTTGACATCGCAGAACTGCTCAAAGTACGAACGGACGTCATCTACACATACAAGACATACAGCCAGGCGACCACACACGGTGGCAAAGACCGGCAGACACACACAACAAACAACACTCAATCAACCAACAGCTGGGGATGTCGATAACAGGCTATGAATCGGGGCACTGGGAGACTACATATACGCTCGTGTATGTTTGTATCATCTCTGTCGGTCACTGCTGGGCGAGTCGAGTCGAGTCGAGTCGAGTCGATGGACACATACCTTCGTTGCAGTCAGGCAGACCCCCAACAAAGAACTTGCTGCAAAGACAACAACAGCCAACACAGCCACACATAGCTATCAACACTCCTCGCCGGCAGGCAGGCCATCAAGCTGTCACAGAGCTATGCACACTGCAACTGCATTCATCCTCTCAGAAGCAGCAGCTCACATCTCTTGGCATTACCGACCGACCGACCGACTCATATCGACACTCATCCCTCGCTATCAACAAGCACGGCTACACTCATCCAGCCAGCCCCCAAACTCACTAGGGCTCTAAAGGTCCAGACGCCTGATGCTCGGTCGGATGCTCCCCTCCAGCGGTAAAACCACCAGCACCAGCACCAGCGGCACCAGCACCGGTAGGCATCTCAGCTCCAGAGGCGGCTGCCTCCACCTGACCGCCGCTGACGCCGTTGGCAGCCGGCGCTGCGGGAGCAGTGGCGTTGTCAGCCGTCTGCATGCCGCTCTGCTGTCCATTGCCGGCCGCTCCTGCCGCCGTCACGTCCTGCTGCCCCTGCACCTCCACCGGCAGCTGAGACGCGTGGCCATGGGTGTCCTGGTCAGGCTGTTTGGGCTGCTCGGGCTGCTCGGGGGGATGATGATCCTCAGGGGGATGATGCTGATGCTCATCGGCTGCCTCCTCTGCCTCTCCCTCCCCCTGTTGATCATAGAGGCTGCACTCCACATGGTCTTCTCCCTGCATCTCAGTCTCCGCCATTGCTTCGCACAAGGGGTGTGTGCGAACCTTCAAAGGGACGGAAGATGAGCCGGCCGAGCTCTGCGAGCTTAGCCCGAAAGTGCGAGCTTGTAAAAGCTCCTGGAGGAGGAGCATGCTTATCTCCCTGCGGCCTGCAGGACGCTGATCTGATTATCCTGTTCCAAGCTGAATCAGATCTGGTCTTCAGCATCTGGAGTTCAGCATCTGCCGAGGTCTGCTGAAGATCATGCTGGGGCGTCCGCCGAGGGACTATTCATCCGCATCTCGGCGTCGCGCAAGCCCATCCCTCTCCCCTTCCACCTCCGTTCCCCGGATGCCGCCAGCGGATGCGGGTGATTCCACTCATCGCAGGAGGGTGCATTCGGCAGTGAAGACGGCATCGTTTGCGGCTTGTTTGTTCATTCATCTCGTGGCCATGCCACCTGCCTTATGCTGGAGATCAACGAGGCTTTCATTCATGAGGATCCATCTTCCCAGACATGGCGCTTGGCCACCGTGGAGGCCTCCGAGGACTGCATTACATGCTGCTGAGAGCACTGAGGACTTTATGCGTCGCCTTGCGCCGAGGCTGGGTCGGTCTGCTGATGACCTGTCGCCTTACATCCGCAAGCTGCGAGAAGAGTGGATCACCGAGCCGGCGTTATTACTGGAGGGCCACTCTGTGCAGGAGACAAAGGACATGCTGAGGGAATGGGGCTTCCCGCGTGGGCTCATTAATGTCATGATGAAGGAGCTGCAATCAACGACGGCTGGCAAACAGGGGCCTTCTCTACCGCAAAAAAGATCAGACACCACGGCTGCCCCTCCGACCGCCAAAAAGAGCGCAGCCCCCTCCCCTCCACCGTCGACGGTCGAAGGGCCTTCTGATATCGTGCTAGTGAAGCAGGAGGTGATGGAGCGCGTCAAGCGAGACCATGCCCCGCAGCGGAGGAGCCTCGGGCAAAGACTCAAGGCCCTTGCCGAGCGCGGACCACTCCCTTCGCCGCCCCCCAGCCAGCAATATCTCGGGACATTTCATCTTCTCCCAGTCGACAACAGGACGGTGGCTGTTGATCAGCGAGGCGGTGCTGCTCAGTCCAAGAGGACTCCACAGTCGAAAGCAGACCAAGTGCCCACAAGCGAGACACCAAACCGACTAGATCTCAGACGTACCGGCCGTCAGCGTGCCAGGGCACCCCCCGTCCCCCAGTTATCCGTCCCACCCAGAGCGCCCCAGAACGTCACATCGATGGACCTGTCGCCCCCTCAGCTGAGTTTATCGATGGATGGCTTGTTCGACTTCGATGCCAGCAGGCTGGCGGCTGATGGCCACGGCCTCGACGACTTCTATGACATCCCGCTGGAGGGAGAGGGCGATGATACGGACGTCGAGGGCGGCGGGAGTGGTGTGCGTTTGAATGGCACCGACCTGGGCGAGGCGCGAGAACTGATCCAGAACCTGCTGGAGGGCTTCATTAGCAAACAGGGGAAGGGTACTGGTACTGCCCCGGGTGCTGACGTTGGCGATGCGAGAGGGGAGGTGAATGCTGACGGAGAGAAAGTGAGAGTGACGGAGACCAAGCAGACATGATGCCTGGTGGGCACGGCTGTATAGGTTATGCGTGTAATGACGTGGCTGTGACACATGAGAGAGAGATTGATGTGATTGCACCAATACGCGGTGTTGAAATAACGTCAGCGGAATGCATCCGATCCATGATACGCACGACACCAGACGTTACGCATTGAGAGGGTATCAGAACGGACAATCAGATATAAAACGTAGACAGCGATCATGTGCGCTGTGATCGCACATGGAACGAAAGTGAGGCTGACGTGTCTCCTCTTCTCTGGGGGGAGGTGGGGGAGCTGATGAGTCTTGAAATGGTCTCGTTGCCTCTCAAGACGTTCTCCCACTTCAGTCGTATCCGCCGCAGCTGAAAGATCCATCCATGCATCCACCCATTGCCCAACACAGCCATGGAGCAGACAGAGACACACGTCACTAGTCGTTACCTAGCACTCCACATCCCGAACTGGGGGCGGATGCCTGTCTTCTTTCTCAAAGTAATCCTCGGGGTCGCTGGTGGGCTTGCCGCTGCACAGACAAGGAGACACACACACACACACACACACACACAGAGAGAGAGAGAGCACACACACCACGGATTCAGGCAGGCTCATATGGGGGCAGCCGGCTCGGTTGTACTCGCTTCGTGGGCCCGTTGTCTGGGTAGTACACGACCATTGGGTACTTGAACGACCTGCAGGGGGAAAAGGAGAGCCGATGGATCATGTCTCTGTGCGTCGCGTCTGTGTGTGTGGACGTCCACCCGTCAGCCAGGGCCACAGGTGAGAAGTCCTCGCTCACTGACAACCAAGCACAGCGGATGTCGGTGTGTGGTTCTGTGAGGGCTGCATGGGTACCGTCGTACTGGCTGCCACGCTTCGTGTGCTGATCTTTGTCCAACACTGTGAGAAGAATGCTCCAGATGGGCGGGGAGGATGAAGGCGATCAACGTGAGCCTGGTCAGATAGGGGTCTCACGGTCCTTGGCTGTGGTGGACTGGTCCCCAGCCATGAAGAAGATCCGCATTCAACATCTGTCCCTCTCCGCCTGCGGCAGCTGGGCCCATCGCCGCAGGAGCCGCTCGTTGACGCCCTCGATCATCGTCTGGTCGATGAGCGCTAGGCCGTGTCTGTCCACAAACAAGTGGACTCTCTTCGTCAGGGGTCCATACTTTTCCAGCAGATCCACAGCAGCACACAATCCCATCGCCTGAAGGCGGATCTTGGCGGTCGCGACCCAGGCTTCGGGCGGGTCGATAGTCTTGATGATGGCTTCATTGAGCTCATCGCGGGTGAGGAGCTTGTCGGGGTTTGTGAGCAGCACGTTGAACATGCCTCAGTGTGGTTGGATCCTTGAGTTCGCTCTTCTCAAAGAAGCTGTAGATGTGCTTTCGTAGGCGGCATGGGATGGATTTCTCCACGTTCGCTGCCGTCTCTGTCACAGCTGCTCTATTGAAGATCCTTGTCCGACTTACTAGTGTGTGGTACGTATCGATCGCAGAAAGAAGCCCCTCGAATATAAAATGTAGGCAACGATGACCTGTTGAAAGAGACGTTGGAGACGCCTTTCGGTGTTTCGCTGAGGCTGAAAGATCCACCCTCCTACCCATTTGCCAACACATAGCCATGGAGCAG